ATATTTTGTGGGGAAAAGTACCAGTTCATACCAGCAATAGTCTTACATGATTCTCTTAATTCAAGAACTGTATGTCTCACCTATCCAGAAGGAGCCAGTGAATTAATAAATATACTGCATGCAGCTAATTTGAGACAAGATAAGGAAGAAAAACAAGAATAATTTGTACGCTCCGTATACTCTATTATTTTATTATCTTTGTAAAAGATAATTAGTTCATCTTTTTAAGTAGCATCTTTTATGTAAAATAGGATTGCCAAGGTATTTATGAGATCTGTTGGGGCAGAGCATAGCAAACTTTAAATCCTGCATTCATTGAGAAGCCAAGTCCTACAGCACTGTGATTAGCCCTTACATCAAGGCAGGGTGCAAATTCTTGTTCACTGTCATTGGAGTTATTAGACCTGCAAGAATATTCTGAAGAGCACAGAATGGGAAAATTACTGTAATTTTGCAACCAAGGAATGTGTTTCCAGCATACAAGTGCTGATGTTTTAAATACTTGCCACTGTAGAATCTACCTTTACAACAGGTTCTAAAGATCACAAACTCTTTTGCTTGTGAACCATGCTGGGCCAGTCAGCATTCTTGCTTTGAGCTACTTTTATGGCTTTTCTACATGCCAAATTAGTATAAAGAAAAGCAGGACATGAATTTACAGTATGTTAACTATTCTTCTGAGTTTGGAAACTTAAAGGATTCCCCTTGCCTTGTGCAAATGAACCATAAACTATTTGGCTGACTATGCCCATTCTGTTGGGTTGGGTTCAGGTTCAGTAGGTTCCCACTGGAGTGGAATGGTAGAGCCTACAGGTACAGTGGAAAGGTTAAGAAAGTGTAAAAGGGGAGGCTAATCTGAATGTTTATAGGAGTAAGTAAGATGCAAGGGCAGTACTGTCCTCTGTATTTATCTTGATGCTACTTTGTGTGTTAAGGATTTGGTTAGGTATTAAAAAAAGAAGTTGTATGTGTAGTCCTTAATTCTGGTCTTCAAATGCCATAGGAAACCCAGGTAAGAGGTTTGGTGTTCTATTACTCATCTACAACGCCCACCAAGCCTGTTGAAAGATTGTGTAAAACTAGAACAAGGAAACTAACATTTTGTTTGAGCGCTTCAGGTTGGGTCTGGCTATAAAAGACTGTTCCATTGTTAAGAGAATGTAAAAGCCCTTTTAACTGCACACAGAGATAGTAGCAAATACAGATGAGTGAATGTTATGGTACAATAACAAAGTACTGTGAATCAAGAGGCCTAATTTTAGCAAGCAAACAAAATTACTTACCTTCATTTTTGGGTGGGTAACCTAAGATTCTACCTATACCTGTATTGCCTGGACAAAGCAGGACCCAGTGTGGCTTGCTGTTGACATAAACCCTCTGTCTCCATGGTCATGGTAAACGGCTATAATTCAACTGTGAGCCTTCACACAGTCCTAAAGGCAGTCTGAGCTCACAGTGCTGATAACTACCAACTGCCCTTGCGGTAGGCTGTGCCAAAGCCCTTCTGCAAAATAATTCGTGAGTAATTTGCCTCTTCAACATTAACCAGGGGACACTGCTGCATGACAACATTCCTGATCCACCTACACAGTGCCTAAATCTATGCTTGGTCTGGAGGGCAGCAGAGCCTTGTTATCCAGCCTAAGACCATGGCTTTAGGTCTGGTAGCACAGTTTGGTTGCATCCTATGAGTATGTAGGGCTTAACTTTCTCAGTGTGCCTCTAGGCTCACCCACAGCCTACACTGGGACAGGGCTTGCATCACTCATTGGGGATGTGAGGGAAATGGAATCTTCAGTCCAGGCTTAAGATAAAATCTTAATGCACCTCAGGAAAATGACAGAATTAATTATTAACCTTGTAAAGATAAAGCTCTTTATGAGCATGTTGACATAAATCATTATAAAAACTATATAATGTATATATTACAGGTATATATGGTTAGGACACATTAAATAAAAAGTACTTCCTGTCCACAGTCTGTTTCCTAACTGGAGAAACAGCGACTTTCAATCTAAGCCTGACGCAGATCATCTACAGTAAAAGTGCAAAGGAAAGCAGTGTCTCTCTGTCTTTGAATGCTAGCTAAGAAGATAGAACAGCTCCCTTCTGTCTCTTTCTTTATTTTTTTTTGAAGCTTAGTGCTTCTTCCACTCTTTCATAACTGTTTGCATTCCACGTGGAAGTAAAATGGCTCCCCTAGTTGTTAATGACAATCAAGCTGAAGAGTGATCGTGACTACCCTAGAACTGATACAGCAATTCCTGTTAGAAAACCTGTATCGAGGCAGGAATCTTCAGTCATTCCTTGGAAGGATTTGTTTTGGTAGTTGTTAATGCACAGCTACAAAACAGAACCATGTGGATGGTTAACATGTATTAAGAAACACTGTTTTCCAAACATTTGTTAGAGATGAGTAACAAAGTTTCTCTGTATCGGAACTCCACAGGTACACTTTCTTGGAAGAAACAAGCATTGAAGAAGTTGCTGTGGGATTGCATTAGTTGAACTGTCACAAGTCCTTTTTTAAATAGACATAGAAGAAGTTGCATTGTGTAAGAAAGTTAGTAAAATGCATCTAGATAACTGGATGAAAATAAAGCTTAAGTGTATATTCAGGATATATGTCTACTACAGTTCTATACAGAGCTCTGTCGCCATAGTAAAGAGAGTTGTTTGCACCAGAAGCTTGTCAATAGTTTAAAATGATCTCAAATAATTTGGCTGAACACATACACTCTCCTTCTGTAGGTGCTCATCGATGTACAGTATCTTGTGTAAAATAAATTAAACATCTTACCAATGTATGTTGGTATTAGTAAACAATCTCTGTATACAAACATGTCATCTAAAGCTCTTCTGTACCTAACTGGCAAATGTAAAGATATGTAAGTTAAGGGTGCTCTAGATGTAGGCTCCAGTCATACCCGGAAGCATATGCATGCTGTCATAATAAACCAAAACCACGGTACTCTCCAGGCCCTGTAAAGGATGTATGCAGCCTGTTAACCCCTTTCCCAAACTTCCTTGATAATTACAGATCCAATTGTTTTCACTGGTAACAGCTCACTGTTCCCTGGTTTACTCTGGTACAATCAATAATGTCTTGCAAATAATGGCTGCATCCACAGCTTGATATCTCTCTGCTATGGTGGCTTGAGAAGGTATAAAAAGCGAAAACATCCTACATTTCTATCCCCCTGCCAGCTATATTTTGTCGTAAGGGTTAACATTTCCATCTTTGAATATATATAAGGATAATATCAACAGGATTAGAAAAGCCATTTTTTTATGTAGCCACACATCAAGTGATTGTTTTCCCCCCCTTTTTTTTTCTAGGACTGCACTCTGACCTGTGTTACTTTTTATCTGTTTTTCAGAGCAGCTGAACTGCAGCTGTGTGAAGCATTACTTAAGGAAGTGAGAGCAAAGGTGACTTCCCCAGTGTGATACAAGCCCCTTGCTATATTATGCCTCTAGCCTTGCAGTGGCTGTGCAGCTCCCTTTCAGCCTAGACTTCGTCTACCGTCAGCATTTTGCACTTCTGATAGATTCAGAGATTTCAAAGGAGGAACAAATAGGTTATCTGTACAACCTTTTGTACAGCACCACTCATAAAATGTCACTAAGCTAGCGAGTTAAGCATGTTTTCCATTTGCTGATGGCTCTTATGACATTGAGTGAGGAGGGTTATATTGACAAACTGAGCTGACTCATGGTTTCATGGAGCAACCCAAGAACAGGCAACGCCTTTTCCTCATACTGGCAATAGTAAAATAGCATATCAAGTTAATCATGCACAAAAAGCAAACAAGCAGCAGAAAGCTCCCCAGGCTGATATCTAGCCTTCCTGTGATGAACAACAATACCTCTCCCAGGTAATTTTTTTTTTCTCAGGCAGTCAATTTACTGAGGCATCCTTTTCATTTGTGGGTGGGAATCTCTGCTGACCTAAAGCCCTTCAAATGCCTACCTTTGCACTAATGTAGCAAATGCGTGTTTCTGGTTTCAGCGTTGCCTACGTTTTAGGGGAAACTCGGTGGGCCAGGAGCTGACAATGTAGCTTCTATGTTTAATAGAAGCCTTCCATTTGTTTTCAAACTTGATGCAAGATACTTTAGAGAACTTTAGAGAACTGCATTAATTTTAGACATTTGGATTAAATAGGTAGCCTGAAATGGACTGTGCATGTTGACAGCTGCTCCTCTTACTAAATCCTTGGAAGTCTCCACAGGCCAAAGAGAAAATGCTCCCAGCAAATATTTTCTGTGTTAAACTACACTGAACTAGACTAAATGAGACTAGGACAGTATTTTCCTCCAGCTGCTGTAGTCTATGTTGTTTTCCCTCTGACATTCAGAGTAATTAAATGGGCTACAAATCACTTCAGTTAATTTCCCACAAGCTCAAAGGAAGTAATGGGTATTCAGTGGTTTTGGAGATGTTGCTTTCATCTCCATGGAGTTTATGATGTCTGGCTTAAAATGAGAGAAAAAGCAAATGAGTCTACTTTATATGCTTCTGTTTATACTTCACCACTTCTAAATTTGTTTATTGTTACTTATTGATTAATGTTTGTACACATGTGAATAACATAATACCACACCTGTTGCACTCTTTTGACACCTTCTTTCCTATTGGTTCCTAATTTCTGTTAGAAGTTGATTTGAAAATCCCAGCAATATCATCTACAGTTTTGCAAAGACAAAATCTCAAAGCATGTCTGAAATATTTTTGTCAATGCTAAAAGGTACTGTGGGAGGGATGAATGACAAGTATCCAGTAGGATTATTTTCTTCAGGGAAAACTAAACTTCCTTATAATTTGGGCACTCCATGATAATGAAAAATCAGTGGTGTGTGAAAGAGAGATTAAATTCTTAGGGAGGCAGGAATTTTGTGAAGGAAAAGCAAAATACGTAAAATGGAAAAGGCTGAAGATCACAGAGAGTAATTCCCATTGCCAATAATCACAATTCCATGTGACAAGTAAGAAAGGTATCAGCCGTTTTTGTCTTCATCAAATTTCTTATTCTGTGGCACAGTGAAATAATTCTTCCAGTCCCTGACAACTGCTAAGAAACAGCAAAGGAAAACCAGAGAAAATACTAATTTACCAGTATTTCCTGAAGCCCGTTAGCCATGACTCACTAGATACTTATACTTCAAGGCTTATTTCAAAACAGAGTGACAACCAGGAAGACAGAGTTGATGACAATAACAAACTTCAGTACCTTGTCTCATGAACAGGGAAGCAAAGAGATCCATTATTCCTTGAAACTCTGTAGTATAGTCTGGCATAGGATTTTCCTTCATTATTGGAAATGAGGTGTTATGAAGTCTCTTGTTTAGAACTTCCTGATTCACATTCTTCTCCAGGAACTTCAGAATCTTCTGAATTTCTTTCTTTGTATTCTGCAGAGAGAATAAAATGGGATTAAGGTACAGAGACAGGAAAACCAAAGAAATCAAACATAGTGTTGAAATTGTGAGGGTGAGAAGATCAGGTTATCGGAAGATTTACTGATACAGCTGGCATTATAACAGAAAACTGTTAATTGTAGGTAGTATCTACTGGAATTCCAGATATCAGAGCTCTATAAACATACATTCAGCCTTTTACCTCCTTCATGTCTTCATGGAAGAGGTAGAGAATACGGTGCTTATCTTTTGCCTCCCACCATCCTTCTACATGGTCATACCAGGAACCTCAGAGCACTGAAAAGGAGTAACAGCAGGACCTACAAATGCCTGAAGTGCCTTTAGGTGTCTGTGGCACTCATATTTCCCTCTAACCAGTGTTTGGGCATCTCCCAACTGGTTCTGAATCACTGTGGCCATGACTGCTGTGCTCTGTGCTTATCACAGCACTCATGTCATTAATCCCTCAGGTATATGGATGCTCAGAGCAGGATTAATGTGTAAATTCAGAAGGCAACAAATGCAGATGCTTACCCCTGAATGAAAAATCCAGGTTGCCTTTATGGTTGATGGAGAGAAACAGACATTTCCAGAGTGATTTATCTGATCAGCTGGGCAAGACAATTCTTCATTTGCCTTGCTTTGAGCTGGGGTTTGGACCAGAATGGAAACCAAAGATCTCTTCCAATTTGCATTATTCTGTGATTCTAAGTAGTTTAAATATTTGCTACACAATCAGAAGCACCCCTTTCTTTCCAACAAGGATACAAATGACTAGCTTGGGCAGAGGTAGCTATGTTCTAGATGTCTGCACTCAGGCAGGTGGCTCCCAAGAAGAGCTGATCAAACAGAAGACACAAGGTCTTTAGACATGAGACTGTCATCTTGTGCTGGTCCAGACAGTGGTGTTTCTAGGCCTACATGGTAGCAAAAAATATTAAGGACCTATGGAAGCTTTCCTGACCCAAACTGCAAACTGCCATCCACCCAAGCAGGTTTTTTTTCTTGGGTATGTGCACCTCTTTTAGAAAGGGAAGAATCAGCTTTTCGGGTTGCCAGCCTTTAGTTCTATAACTGGCTTTGTTCAGATGCCTGGTTTTTAGACAGATGAAATTAGGTAAAAGGACTCCTTTATCTCCATTTCATTGAATAAATTGCCACAGAATTCCATCCTTTGGTCGACATACAGGCGACGACTTTCCTGACGCAACTCGCATCATACACGTAGCAGGGCCCAGCTGAGGGGGTGGGTGAATGTCCTGGTTTCAACAAGTCAGTGAATTAATTCAGCATTCCCTATATGGTTTCTGGAAAAGTTTCCAAAGAATCAGGAAACAAACCAAAAAACTAAGAAGACTGTTTGACTGGCTTTAAGCCAATCATGTGTTCATTTTCTGGCATTGACACCAGGTTTTCATTCTGAAGGCTGGCAACAACAGAACTGATAAATAACGCAGAATAAGCAGAATATGTACGGTTATGGTATAATATTTCTTATTCTGTTTGTGTTATTGTTTTGTTGTTTGGTTGGTTGGTTTTTTCTTTTTTCTTTTTTTTTTTTTTAATGTGACCATTACTTCCAAGTTCTGTCATAGGAGGATTTGCTGTTTTCCTCTCTGTATTAAGCCTGTGCTGATTCTGTTCTTCTCATACCTACACCTGGCAGATCATTTGCTGGTTTGAAATGGTATTCATTCCCCTTTCAGTTATGCAACCATCCTTATAATGCAGTAATCCCCAGAGCACATCAGCTGGTGTGTCTGAACAAAGGCAAAACAAAGAGCTGCTTATCAGGTGACTCTCTTTTGCTGTAGTTCTGAATCTGAGTAGCCTATGAGCAGTGCACTGTCCCATATGAGCTGGAGTGAGGTTGAAACCCACTGCCTGTAGCTTTAAAACTGCTTTTGAAATATGCAATGGCTGATGCATTTGTCCTGTTGTGAAACAGGGAGGTGAGAGTTGAGCTGGCTGGCCCAGGGACTGGGTTTCTGGTCTGGGATCATGGTTTACTGGGCCGCTCTAAAAAAAGAACAGGCACTCTCTGCAAAGAGCTTCCTCCAGGTTTCCATTTTTACCTTTTCCTGAGTGCAAATTGCTGGCAAGTGTTTCCTCATGTAAAACACTCTGTGTTTATTTTATTTTATTTTATTTTATTTT